TTATATTGTAAGGTTAAATCATCGATATATGCGAATAAGGACACTGCAAATGGAAAAAAAAGGTTATAGGAAATAATTGTGCGAAATAATATAATATACAATTATTAAAAAACTGAAAAGACACATTTTATTTGAAATTGTATTGAATTTATTGAGTTCATTCACAGTCATTCAAATTCGTTTTTAGAATCGCTGTTTTTCTTAAATTTATAATATTTCTAGAACCAATATGTCAACGAAATTAATTTGTACCTAAATGAGTGTCGTAGAACGTTGGTACCTTATTAGGGGGTCGTAAAAATGTTAAAAATAATTGTCGAATTTTACAAAATTGAAAAACATTTGGAAAACCGACTCCGACCGTATGGACTAGCTGAAAAATCACTCAGTTTTTTGTTTAAAACCCTCTAACAAAATACATTTCGCTCTATTTACGATTTTATTTTGATGTCTTGTAATGTGTATATAATATGTATTTATGTATATAAGGCCAGATCCGCTTGTCTATTTGTCTCTCGGTAGCACTTTTTTGGTTTTTTAATTTATTTACAATCTGTATAGAAATGGACAGTAGGTAAATTTGATGAGGTAACGATAAAAAGACAAAAAAAAAAAAAAAAAAAAATGCGAAGACGTTTCACATTAAAAATGCCTGAAAACATTCTTATATTATTTATTTTAACTGTGGCATTTAGGTTAAATTTGGAGTTTAAATACAAACGAAACGTATAGAGAGGAAAATATTTTCGAGAACTGTCTGTTGCTTTTTTTTCTAAAAAAAAAAAAACTATTGTACCTACAAAAAAGTTTCAGTCGTATTAGTTATTTAAAAATTTAAAATTTTAATTACCTATAGACATTACTTTTGTAATTGAATTTTGTTGTTCAACACCGATTCCAATCTAAACGTCACAACTCGTGTTCTACGTAACGTATAAGTTTTGTTGAATGTCTGCGCATATTTAAAATTTGTAAAAATTCTTTGTAATAATATTATACGGTCACAATGCGACTCCACGTCACAGTGCACTCCCTGCAGTTTCCCGGATTGAAAAAACTATATCGAGGGCATAATATAATCGATCGTTATCGCTAACTCGTCAACTTTTATCAGGCTAGTGCGATTAGAACGCAATAAATATTATTGTCTCGATCGAACGTTAATCGTTATCATTTGTCATATCCATCGGTCATCGGTATCAGATTGTCTGCGAGTCGGTGCGCAGTTTCCATAATATAATCGTCATCGCTATAATCATAGGCTTGTCTAACTTAGCCGGTAGACGTACAGATGCTAATTTACGTTTCTTAGCAAAACTTATAAATGACTCATTTAATACACCTTCCTTCCTCTCCTGTATTAATTTCCGAGTTTCCTAGCGCTCTACTATCTCCTTCGCCCCTTATGTAGTACCCAACGTACTACAAACTATTGCCACAATCATCTTCTTGACATCACTCTAATTTATCTAATTCAATCACTGCTACCTATTTAAAATTACTATTAAAATATTTTATCATTTGTATTTTTTTTTCTTTCATTCTGTACTCTGAACTCTAACGCTATACGCGGTTAAAACGTTCGGTCTGGATAAATTGAAATCCGTACACGCAGTGGCGGCTCGAAGGAGGTATATATTTGAATCCCGTGATTCAGAGAAAAAACGGGTAGGTGCAGGGTCGTAGGTGCCTGCGTGTTCAGAAATATAACAAAAAATATTATGTTTTTACAAAACAAGTCATCAAAAGAATTTTAGACTTCGGAAATTTGACAAATTTGACGGATTTGATTGAAATTTAACAGATTTCAATACATTCGTGGTGGAATGGGGGTATTTTCGGGTTTGGGCGGGTGGAAAATTAAATCGGTTAAAATACTTCGCGCCGCCAATGCAGCGTGCACGTGTAACAGTCGGATTTGGCCATTTTAAACGTTTCAATGGTCGTTGTTACCCGTCACGTACTTATACGACGGCCATACGACTGTGCGATATAATAAAACAGCGGGTAGCGTTTTATAATGTTATAACATATAGTAGTCACATTGTCGGTGTAGTTCGCGCGTCACATTCCGTTTATTATGCGTGTATTCATGTATATTTTACCCGTCTATATTATATTATTAACGGCATATTATCGCTGGTACAAGATAATTAAAAAAAAAAAAAAAAAAAAAAAAAAAAAGATTAAAGCTGCGCTACTTGTTATAATACATAAATCGCCGGCGTTATTTAATTTATTTCGCCGGTGCCAACGCCAAAAGACGAGTTCGGAGGACGTGCTACCCGTCACGTTTTGTACGTTATTTCGTTAATATATTATACATATTTATCTTTTTTTTTTTTTACGCCATCACGCCATCATAAAAATAAATAAAATGTTATATAATATACTCGTCTACGAATACTATTTAAACCGACTCGTGGTCAAGTGCCAAAAAATTTCACTTCCATAGGTGATATTTTCCGTGCAGCGCGGTTATACTTATAATATGTTATACAACCATTATATTGCTCTGCGTTTAAAATGTCGCAGCTGTATAGAAAAACTGACAACCGCCTAGTATAGGTTTTAATAGATTCACATTTTCGTTTAGCATTGAAAAATGTTTACAAATAGATTATACGTATAGAGTTGCGCGGCCATTAGATGTTTTGAACGCCGTAATGGTTTTTGGATATGTTAAAATTCCCTAATTTAAACGCACATCTATTACAGGTGTGATAATATGTAATAGTTTTGAAAAACGGTACGCGCATAACTTTAAGCTCAAAAAAATTATCATAATTAGAGACCGGATTTAACTTAAAATTCACAAAAGATCGTTTGGAAAATGGTACTTTTAGGGTTTCTTTAAATAAAATTGTACGGATTATAAAGAATTACATTGTGTTAAACATTTTTGTAGTGTTGGAAAATTTAATTTTATAAGTCGCAGTCATAATCTAGGGGCTTTTAAACTTCTCTACCATTTTTGCTTTTTTAAGATTTTTTTTCTAATCGCTTTTCTAAACTAAACGAAGACAATAATAATTGCACAGTGTTGTAAGCAAGGTGATAACGTTAACATTTTTAATTACGATGAGTTTCATATATACTTATAGAAATCGTTTTTTTTTTTTCAAATGCTTATTAATATGATTTATAATTTCTGTGAATTTCAAAACGTTGTGCAATAAAATACTACGGCTTGATCAAAATTATCGGTCTATAATATTTTATAATAAAGTGTGTGTTTTTTAGACAATCGTCGTCACAAGAAAAACGTTTTTACTGTGTATATACATAATACTCATACCTGTGTAATGTATAAAACAAAATATAAAATGATGCAATAATATCGTATATTATAATCATAATCACGAATATTACAGCGTTTTTTTTTTTAATTAATCAATAATATCATTATATAACATCGTTCTTATATCTATTATATTAAATTATAATGAATTATGTGCCGTTCAAACTATAATAAAATCAAGTTTTCACTGTTAATTAAAAATATATTTTAATAATATTGTAGTGAAGTATATTTTCTCTAATTACTATTATTTTTCGGAAAAGGAACATTTGACCAATATGGTGTAAATGGACTTGGATTTTGTTAAACTATTTCATTTCTAAACATAAAACTTGATGAGGTCTAGAAAACGTCCTTACGATTACAAAAATAATATAACAATATTAATACATAACCAAGGGCAAAACACGACGAGGCGTTTTATACTATAAATAAATATTCCTAAAAGGTTCTATCACTACGTTTAATTGATGAAAGTACATTTAAAAAGACGGACATATTTCGCACGATGGGTGGACTACTTTCGAAGGTGAGAACTTGGGGCGGTAGGATATAAAGGGGAATTTATAATGTATATAATATAATATACATTTTTTTTTTTTTTATTCGCAAACAACTTTCTTTTTCGTAAAAATTACGGCTTTTCAAAACATGTACAACCGAACTTCATTCAAAATCGTTTTTCGTTAGCAATGGTTAATCGTTGGGTACAGATATACCTACATTAAATTTTCCCTTTATACCTTCTCGACTTCTCACCTACAACAGTGACCTACCCACGTGCGGAATATGTCTTAATATGAATAATATTTTGTAATTTCGTAAAAATAATAATGAAATTACCAATTAATACTAATGTGAAGACTATTGATCGTTTGGAAAATTTTTTTTGTGTCTGGCTCGATATTGGAAAGAGAGCAACTCAAGTCTGATTCGCCGTCCACGCGATTTCTGTGTTTTATTTTTATAACAATGTATTTACGGACGGCGCGATAGCACAAGAATTTTGAAAATAACGATTATTATTTTAGTTTTAGTGATACGCGCTAAACGATCGTTTATTGTTCTTGTTTTTTCCCTGGGTTATGTAAGATTTACATTGTAAATGTAAATACTCACGCCTCCCCTGCAACGTGTTCACGCACCCCCAGGTTGGGAAACACTGAGCTATATAATAGATAGTTCATTTATTATTGTTGCAACACTTGACTATATTAATTGTATGGATACAGTTGTAATATAAAAATTGCTATACGCGAAATTCCGTTACGAAAATTATTATATTATGCGTTTACTTCACTATCGAAATATTATATTATAGTGTTGGCTGTTGTAACGAAATTGTCCTATAGTTTTATCTAAACTAATATTATAAAGAGAAAAGATTTGTTTTGTATGTTTGTAATGGAGCTTATGCTCAAAAACTACTGGACCGATTTCAAAATTTTGTTCATTTATAAAAAGCCGCATTATCATTTATCAGCGAGTAACAAGGGCTGTGTATTTTATTTTCAAGCAAATTAGAGATCTTTTTTTTTCCAGTTAACCGACAGCATTGGCGGTTTTATGTTAACATTACTATACCCTTTCTGCCATTGTTTATTATAAATAGATAAGAAATATAATACATGTAAATACAATGGATGCGCAGGGAACCTGCAGCACTCCTTTAAATTAGATATACAGACAATCAGTCCAGATGGCAGGGCCGTTGTCTAAAGCTGGTCATAGTGTTCGCGACCAGGTTCCCAACTGTGGCATTAGGCAGTTTGGTCGCTTTCGTGGCTCGGTGATGAACACTGACCAACCTGGTGTCAGCTCAGTGCGGAACTCCCCTTCAAGTCTCTCCTGGCCTCAGCCTCAGCCGTCCTTTCGTCCTCTTCCTTGCGGTGAAGAATGTCCTCCACCATTTGGTAGAAGCATTACGTGCCCAGTTGAAAGGCAGAGATTAGCAGCTGGTGTCTCGTCTTCCTTGGACGGTAGATCGACCGGTCCGCAAAGCAGGTTCTGGACGTCTTTCGGAATTTATAGGTTACCTATAGGTGACATGGATGACAATTTGGTTGTCATGGACAAGAAAACTATTCTTCTTATTATTATTATTCTTATTCTTATTATTATTACTATTATTTACACTATTGTCTAGCAATGGTAAAGCATTGCCGGGTTAGGTAGTAATATATATACTTTTTATTTAAAAACTATTGTAGTTTTTTCATTGTTTCTCGCTTGAGATAATATAACGTGTATAATGTATATATTATTTAAAAAAAAAATCAAAATTTGAATTCATTCGATTATATAAAATTAAAAATAAATAATCATAGTTTACCAAATCGTTATACTTATTCGCGAGTAACAAAATACATCAGCGGTTAGATAACAGATAGTGGTAATAATATATGTATATATAGTTATGATACATGTATAATACATGATTAATGAATATGACAACGTTACACAATTAACAGCAATGTTTGTTCAAAAAAAAAAAAAAAAACTCTTAAATTATAATACATAATATTATATAATAGAATTTGATGTCAAAAAATATTTTTAGAAAAAATCACTGTATTGGCAGTTGTCGTTTAAATAATAAAAACAGTAAAATAATATTGATTATGTATTATATATACTTAACGCGCAATTTGAAATCCGCCGTAATACATATAATATGTATAATACTGTATATATATTACATCTGTAAGTATGACTTAATGAATTATATCACATAAAATATAAGTTTATTGACACACACGTGTAGTTATTATACGGTTAAGTATTTATTATATCTTTTCAAAAACAAAAAAAAAAACAAAAAATTGTCTGTGTGCAAATAGAAAAAAATAACGAATTATCGTCGAATTCCATTTTTTTCCCGACAATTATTTCTATTTCAATATAATACCGCTTTGTACAATATGCGTTATCGTCGGTTAGACGCGTGTAAACAATCGGTCAACTTCAACGAGTCTATAATATGATCCGCATCATAATATTGTTCGTATAATATACTACGGCATAATATTTTATATTATTATTATTAATAATTTTCGATAAACAAAATTGCTAAGTATTGTGTTTTGTACACCGTTTTGATAAGATCAAGCATGTTTGCATTCCGTATAACTTTTAATATTGTTACTGTATTATCGTCCGTGAAACGGGACAGTTATTTTATAAACAAAAAAATTATGTTTCGACAGTAATAATTAATTATCACGAATTAATAGGTAAACTATGCGTCTCTTGTCTCCGTCGTCGTACAAAACACAGTCAAATTTGTATTCGGCAAAAATCGATTTGGTGCTTTCTACTGTATTAATATTAGAGTGAATAATTCAAAGAGAATACTATCAAGGAGAAGAACTCAATTATTAATTATCAGATAATTAATTGTACGTCGGTTTTTTCTGATATTTTAATTTTTAATATACTTATCTACATTAGAAATGAATCCATGTTTAATGTATAATTATGCACAAAAATGGTCATATCTATACTGCAATATGCGTTTGTCTATTTCACGAATTTTCGTTAAACCGTGACCGTAATTTTAATAATCTCGACCACCTATACCTATACACCTATACCTTTTTGATTCGTGAAAACCAAATGTGATCACTGAATATACTGCACGTTATAAAGTCACGGGAATCGTTTCTGTACCTTTTAGTTTGTATACAGTACATGATAATGTACAGAAAAAATCGTTATTTTATATTATTAAAAAAAACGGGTTTTTTTCAAAAAAAAAACAAACCATTTTTACTGCTAGGAATCGTGTAAAATTTAAATTTATACGCATTCAATTAATATAATACATATATACAATATACACGCTATATAATATCTAATTAATACTGCAAGTTTCATGTCGATTTCAAATGGTGCAGTATACATAAACGATAACCCTATAAATTTAGTATATATTATTAGATTTCGCAATAATCGTCTAGGTACATAATTGTTAATATGGCGTAATCGATAAACGAATGTAATATTTTAATAACCCATCATCGTAAATTAGCCGATACCAGACAGCATCTTTATATGATATCATATACATTATTTATCATTATCTATAATCCGGTTGAACTGTAATATAATGCAATATAAGTATATATCTATTACGATATCATTATTTTCGGTATTGGTTTAATCACGTTATCGTCTCGCGTGATGTTTAACTTGTAATTGTATTTTTTTTACATTTTAATATACAGCAGCTATATGATATACAACTTATATTCGTAAGTCAAATATACGATTAAACTATATATGCATAACATAATAATATACAATATTGTAATATTCGATTGCCCGCAATTAATTATCACGCGACCGTTCGCAATATGCATACCGTATAATAATATGAAAAACTGAACGTATTATACGTTTCAGATTATCTCTAAAAAAATGTATAAATGTGAAAATGAGAATGTGTGTAACGAATAATTGAAACTCTCCGGAACTATACTTATCCGACCGTCGTGAATATTTTTGTTTTTTGTTACACTGCGGAAAAGGTTTTAAGCCCGATTCCGTTTCTATAAGTTAATACAAAACAATAATTTGAACGCATACTTGGCAATTACGGTCGAGCTCTGTCGATAATAAGTCCGTATAATATCATCACCGTGAGACCATGGACACGGGGAGATTATTTTATTACACGAGCAAAGCCACGTACCAGTCATGTACTAAAATGTGTATAAAGGCGTAAGAAAAATAATCGGTATAGGGACAAGCGTATATACGAGTAAAACTACTGCGGTATACGCGTATAATAATAGTATTATGTACAGTGAAGTTATATTTGAAATCGCTTCAAAACGTCTCCGTTCTCCATTAAAGGCGTGTTCTCCGGTGTACACAAAAACCGTATCGGATACATACGAAGGAAGGCTCTCGAAAATATGTCTGCCTGCGACCCTCGAGGTATTCGTCGTCCCAAACAAATATGTACACGTATGTATACGTTCCGTTGTCAGAATACTCATAAAATATATGCTGGACCCTCTCGCCATTCCGCGTGCATCACGGACAACCGAAATTTTAAATGTGTTTAACGAGTCCGCGTTCATCGTTATTATTACTATATTACTATTGGAGACCACGGCGAGGTATATATGCACTTAAAATCCACAAAAAATTTCCTGAAAAAAAAAGACTTAAAAAATATTTTTAAAAAGATACGGACATACTTTGCACGGTGGGTGGCCCACTGTTGTAGGTGGGAAATCGGGAAAGTAGGATAAAGAGAGGAATTAAATGTATATATGTACTTTTAAAACATTCTACCATTTTTGTTTTTTTTAAATATTTTGAAGTTTTTCTAAAATTTTTTTGTGGGCTATTATTGCTACTTGATACACTCATATAATATCTACTATTATATCTTTTCCCGCATTCGCTGAACGCTGTATATAGTCTTCTATGGTTTTATTACAGTTCGTTTAGTAAATATACTTACATACTTATAACCGATAATAGGTAGGTGCAGTACATAGTTATTTCAAATCACAAAAAAACCGTATAGACAAATCGTTTAAAATAGAGCGATGTTATAGATTTGAATATCCTTGTAAAAAATAATCAGTTATTTTAATTTTTTCATATAGTCAGTAAGTATACAATATCATTGGTTAATGTACATCAAACAATTTGTTTGTACAAATAATAATAAAAAAAAGATAACATAGAATCCAAAAACAGCTAATCGGATATTCTCGTTAAAACTACAACATTATGTAGAGTGGAGTCGCCATCTTAAAAAAATGTGTGTTATTAATATTTGATTTAATTTATCTATGGTTATCGAAAAAAAATTCTAAACTAAATCGTAAATACATCATAAGTTTACCGATATAGTTAGTTTGAAATTTCAAAATCTTAAGAATATTATGGAATGCAAAATTACCATTCATTAATTTAAAATTGCTTTTTTCCGATTTATTATGGTCATCAAACACTATCTACCTATGTGTTAGTAATAATTGATATTAAGCAGTAAAATAATTAATTGTGGATAAATACAACAATTATATATTGACCATATGGTTTATCAAATAACAAAATTACACTATTTACGAATTAAATACAAACGAAGTGAGTGGCCATAATAGCATACAGGGATACCGGACAATGGACATAGGCCACCACTTATAACTATAGTATACTCCATCATATTATAATACATGGTAGGAAAAAAATCTAATACCTTCACAACATTGGTTATATCGATAAAAGCGTCAATTTGATAATCGATAAAAACCCGTAACGCGTTGAAATCTTGTATATACTTGTTACAACCTATACAGCTCGGTTAAATATCGACGGCTGAATGATCAAAATAGCGCGACAAAAAACATTTCGTAATCAAAAGGTTAAACTCATTAAAACCTGTATACATTTTAACAAAACATTTCAAAATGTAAAACTATAATAAATCGTTTAAATAAACGATGCATTATATGTATGTGTATACGAGTATATGGTGTTAGGTATTATTACTATAAATGCGCATAATATGTAAGCATAATTATACGTAGCTATAGGTGTTATTATATAATATATATTATGTACCTGTATAGTTTGTTCAAGCGTCTATACATTATATGGAATGATATTATTATAGATTCTATTGAAAACGCACTGTTATAGATCGTATTCGAAATGTGCCATAAATATACTTAGATAAGTTGCGTCATAATAACGAACATATTACAGGTATATTTCTATATGCAATGAAATAACTAATTATGGGCATAGTTATAGCGTTAAGCGAATATTACACATTATATTATACGACAATTTCAAAGATTTAATTTTGTTAACTATTTATATACACCAGAGAGTTAATATAATATTACAGAATATCAGCAGTGGTGTAATTCGGATTTCGTCTTGTTATTAGGTGGGTAGGGGTTAGTGGATATTTTTTGAAAATTGTATATAAATGGGGGGCGCTCCCAACTTGTCAGCTATAATGTATTTTTCCATTGGGTGATAGGGTTTAGAAAAAAAAGCCGTAAAAAGTACTTACGAAAGGCTTACGTTTAAACAAGACAGTTAATAATTGATATTGGGAAAATAGAATTATTATGCCAACATAGTCAAATGCATTAAATCGATTCTAACGAA